GATTGCGAAATCAACATACCTCTAGCAACGGCGATTGGTTTTCCAGAGGCACTAACGGTCGTTCCGGAACGGGCCTCGTTGCAAAGTAGTATGCAACACTAGCTGCCAGGCTTCCTAGGGTTAACGTGCCCAAAGTGCCTCCCAGGTAGTACAGATACCCATCGATCTCGTCCCCTGTTGAGGTGACCAAAGCAAAATGCATTAGACTGGGTTTCCAAAACATAATTTCTTATTTTCTTTTCTTATAATTGGTGGAGGAATGCTTACAAGAACCGAAATTCATAAAGCACATTTTTAAAGCATATAATTAAAAAAATAAAAACATGTTTTAATAAGACAGCATAGTTAAATTTCAGAATATGCGAAATATTTAAGCAATAAACGTTTTAAATTCTTGGGTGGTAATTGCTTATACTTGCTTGCTTAAAATTCAAATCAATAAATGAAATATATTTTCCACTCATACGTGTATTAATCATTAATAAACCTTGGATAAAAATACTTACAGAAATATGAAAAATTGCTGACAATCAAATGATTGACGTAGGCCATAACCGATTTTTCTGGCGTCATCGTTTTTGTTTTTCCTTACTATATTATTGTTTTGCTTGCTATTACAGTAGTAGTTTATAGTTGTTTCTTTCTACCTGAGTAAATGTTACGTGTTAAGCTTAATGATTGCGTACAGAAGATAGCCTGCGAAAAAAATCAATAAAAGTGCACACATCAATGAAATATTTTTTTTAAATTGATTTTATAATAATGGGTTAGTTGGGAAATACTGCATGCACTGAAAAGGGGGCATTGAGAATTCTCAATTTCCAAACGCAATCAAGCTGAACCAGAGGCCAAAACCACAGCATATAAATGCCATTCATTTTCTGCCTAATTAGAGGGTTATCCATATGCACACATCTACCCTTGTATAATTTTATAGATGTCAAGTGAAAACAATTGGTCTTGCAGCAGGTTTATATATTCGGGGTAGATTGAGTGTACCAGATATGAGAACCAAAAAACATGTTTCAACATGATCGATGTCTATTTTTTCAACAATTGCGTTACAAATTTTTAAATATACATATTACCGCGATCTTTGATAGGCAAAGCTGCACTTGCCCATCAGTTGTGTTATTATGGCTTTATCTGCTGCGTTCGAACTTTGTCTTATCAGTTTTGAAATAATAAGCGTAAGAAGTGCAACTGAAATACGAGCAATAAATCTTAAGAGAAGAGTCGGCGATTAGGGGTTTTCAATGCTCTACAGAACTTTGCACTTTTTCAAAATGCTTACAAAATGGCAAAATGAATAATACATGGGATTATAAGTCGTCGATTTTTGAATTAAACTTAATTTCAATAAATATACTTCGAATATAAAAAGGTACATTTTATTTACTACTATTGCAATTACATAAAATAATACAAATTATAGAATATCTACGCAATATGTATATATTAAGAAAATCAATTTGTTTGTATCAATGAATTTAATTTCCTGATAAATGTATTTATTTCTAATTTTACTTGACCTTAAGCATAGCACCTGCCATAAACTGCATTCTACAATAACAGGTTTATCAGGATTGATTAATTAATTTACGTATTTCCCATCTATAAAGGCTAAAATATTGATACACATTACAAGTTAGAATGGGTTTCCCAACAATACTAGCTGTAGTGCCGTATACAGGTTTTTAAATGCTTCTGACTACAATGTTTATTTTTTTTGTTGAGGTCAAATACCCAGTTTACTTGTTATGTGTAGTGAATAAAATTATCATAATAAATGGTAATTCAATGGCAAACAGGCACGATAGACATTTTCGCGGAAGAAACACTCATTTATGATATTAAACCTACGATTGCCTAAAAATGATTAAATCGATTAGACTTTGATAACTCTGATATGTTCCTGCAAAAATGATTTTATAAACAAATTCGTATCTAGAGAAAAAAATTAATTTCTGGGAATGATCTATAGAAAGTCACATACAAAACAATCGTAAATCAAATTCCGATACTCAAACAAAATATGGAACCTCTGTGTTTAATATTTAATCCTCTTTAGTTGGTCACTTCTGGGACTTAAAGACTGCAACTGGGGGAAGTCAAACGCCACATAGCCACCGAGTAGGTCGAACCACTTCCTCCACATAAGCAGGGGGCTGGTGGAGCGCATCCCAAGCTTTTTAACTGCTGATAAGACTTGGGGCAGCAGAAACGGCAATAATAGGTAGAATCTTTATCAGTCCGCGGCTGAAACTTTGCACCCAGGCATCTGGCCGAGGCCCCTCACTAAGCAGATTATTCGTCTGTGGACAATGCAGACGGACGACCCAAAAACAAGTGCGATATATGTACATATGTAGTGTCTGGAGAGTAAATATACCCTATATAGTATGATTAAGCATCACTTTTTATAGGTCTTAATAAGTTTATCTGTATGGATATGGTGCTTGCTATTTAGAAAATGGATTAAGGTCCATGATAGAATTGATTTTTTTCCATCGATTTATGTACGAGTATACTTTCGCCTAATGGTTTCATGAAAGCTACATACATAGTTCCGAAACTTTCATATGCTTACAGGATGATTTTTTATTTAGTTCCTTTCGGATGAAAACTATAAAATTCAACTGATTTGTTGTAACACATATTATTTTGACAAAAATGTGTCAAGTTCTTACAATAAAGGACTCAAGTCTGCTTTAAATTATGGTTTCCTTTCTATATACTAGATATCTTTTAGTTAAATACGTCTTCAGACATTGGTTTTCCCAAAAAAGAACAGAATATTATGCAATATAAATAAGTGAGCTTAGGCTATTGATTTTATAGACTGGTTTCTTGATAGCCGGGTCAAATCAGGTTTGGCCAAACGTGAGGAGGCACAAAAGAGGGCAAGGGGGAAAGGGGCGGTGCGGCGGAGAAAGGAGGATGCAAAGAGTGAGAAACAAAATGGAGCCTACTGAGGTCAAGGCGGGCACATGCGGCTTTCGACCATTGATTTTCGCCAATTACCCAAAGTTCTTACCTACGAATCTGGACTACTCGAAGATGAAACACATTTGTCGGGCTTATTTATAAGTTTGGGCACGGGCCGACTATTCATACACCTAAATTAGCCTGGGAAAATCAATGAAAAGTTTACGTTTCGGCACTCGCTGATTCCGCCTATCGTATTTTTTACCGGGTCGCTTTGGGGGGGCGTACGTGTAGGCGCGGGGCGAAAAGAGAGAGGAAAAGCCCTAGAACCGAGCATGGAATACCGAAAAACCGAAGGCCGGAAAAATTACTCCTAAACGGTCCGACGTTCGAAACAGAACTGAGTACTGCCAACCGAGAATATCGGAAACAAAGTCCGTTTGCGTTTGAGTCCGTGTTCTGAGCATGCGTGCAACTGCTCCAACAACAGCGAGCGCAACAACACCAGTCGCAATCGCATGAATGAAGCCACACTGAGAACCGAACACCGCTAACTACAGAGAGTCAGTGCCTACACTGAACCAATTAATGACAAGTGTTTTCGCAAAATAGAAAACAAATGTCGAGCGGGAAGCATATAAGATAACTAAAGCCAAAGCTGAAAATCTTTTAATAAAAAATTATTAAAAAATTATAGATATGTTTTGATTATGATTATGATTTTTAATCTAATATTTTGGATTTAAGTACGTATTCAATACATACAGCATACTTAGTTCCCTACCTAAGCCCTCATTTTTTTTGCAAGTGTGCTCCAAACAAGAAGAGCGCGGCATTTGCGAGAGAGCACTAGCTCAGCTCCAGTCATAACAAACAACGAAACAAAGTGGCAAAGGCAAACAACAAACTGCACGTGCTACAGCAAGTCGAGGCAAAGAATGGGGGCGGAGTGGGAGTGGCAAATAGCGGAGAGCAGAAGAGAGAAAGCTGATTGCAGTGAGAGAGCCATTGTGTCTGCCCGCTTTAGTGGCGTTCTGTTTAGAGGGTTGGGGGTATAGGTTGGGCAAAGGATAACAGCCGCAGACAAACGGCTGTCTTTTTATGGCCAGGAGAAGCGGGGGGTGTCGTGACGCACTTGCTCCTTTCGGTCCTGCGAGGGGTGATTCAATACTTTAGATTCCATAGCAATTAACATACATATAATAAATAAATAATAAATATTGGTGCGGTATTTTTTTAGGCGTTATCACGGATACGCAACTATACGCATACATTCTAAAATACAAAGTTCAAATATAAATAATAAATAAGTTATTAGAAATATGTTACTATTTAGATACTTAAATCAATAATATCATGTATACGCAAGAAATGAAACTTTCTTATGTTACGAAATGTATTGGAAGTACACATTGTTTAATAGGCTGCTAGATACTTAAATACCTTATTTTGCTTAAGCATTTAATATCAGAAGTGTTCTAACTACCCTCCCACTTTCCGATGTGATACTGCCATACTCGTGGCAGCTGTCTGTTAAGTTTAAAAGTTTATTGACGAGGAATCTATAATTTATTTTAAAAGGTCGAACTGGGAATTGGTTAGGAGTACTTAAAATATAAAAAAATAAGTACACACAAAAATGTTTGTGAAACTTTAAGAATCAAATCAAAGAGAATTTGGGGTTTTGCAACACAAAGATACTTGAGTGTGGGTCTTGTTTATTCAGGTTTTTTTTTTCTTTTTATGGCTTCTCGTATGGAGCATAAAACAAAAGGGTTTTTTAGGTGGGGATAATCCAACAAAACTGAGTCAACATACCTCAGTACATACATATATTTTATAAAATGTATCTTACACATCCACTTTACATACATTTTAAATAGGTTGTTGTAGCATACTTGAAGGCAAACTTGTTTAGTTAGTATCTCAACCCGTCAGATACTTTCGGGTCGGCTGATGCCCTAGTTATTTGGGCAAGTTCGGTCATTGTCATTCCCTTTTATCAGTTAAAAACCGCGGTTGCGGCTTCCATGCTTAAAAACAATAAAAGCTTTTCGCATTTTTTAAAAGAAGAGCATTTAAATGCTTATTAATCGGTTGGCACTCGAACAATGGAAAGCGGCGAGGTGAAAATATCTTTGGACGATTCCCCCAGCTCCGGGGAAAGTTTCGCCAGTACAACCAGTGGTCCATGTTGCGGTTCTGGCAGGGATTTGGATATTCAGGTGGATGAAAGAGATAAGGAAGGCGACCAGTTCCAATTGAGAGCCACCAATGAATTGCAAAAGTCCAATAAAACAAACAACAAATGTTCCAGCGATCTATCTACAGGGAATAGCTATGCTGCCAACAAAAATGTAGCTGAAGGTAAGAACCTAGTGCAAATGACTCTTTGGATTTTAGAAATTGGGAAAATACTCAAGAACTATTACCCATTGAATATGCATTATGTTTTAAATTATAAAGGGGGTCAAATGGCTTAATGTTATTCTGATCCCTTGTTGTAGGCCTAATGGATATAGCTTTGCTTTCGGCGAATGCGAATCAGTTGCGATTCCTGATCACTTATAACGACAAGGCTTCCACGTATATATACAGTATGATTATGGTGACACTTTCCCTGGTACTCCAGCTTTTAGTTGGCCTAATGCTGATCTTCAAAGTATGTAAGTAGCTCTTCAATTGTTCCGCTTACTAAAAGGAACTCTTCACAGAGACGTCTCAAGCGGTTCAGGAACCGAAGCTACGAAAGGACTAACGATCTGCTGGTAATGGGAGTTTTCATGATCACAGTGATCAACATTCTGCTGGCCGCATTCACCACAACGGATGGTGACATTCATTAGTGAAATTTATATTTTATATGTGTATATATTTTAATTGTATTTTATACAATATGCATAACAGAAAGAACTATGTGGTAATGCTACGGTTACATGGAGAGAACCGAAAACGGATGCCCGTTTAAATTGTTCCAGCGGTTCCCACGCATAAATGCACTTGACGTATCTGACGTACGATATCTCAGCTTGTGTGGGGGATATGTCGGGGGGAGGAGGAGTATCGGGGGAGCTCTTAGGCCGCATAATCCTTCTTGATGCACTTGGCAATGGTGGTCAGCTGCATGTTGGTGGTGCCCTCGTAGATGGCTCCGATCTTCACGTCACGGTAATACTTCTCCTGCGGGAAGTCGCGGGTGAAACCAACACCGCCCATCCAGTCGACGCACTTGATCGCCGCCCTCTGGGCCACCTCGGAAGCGTAGTACTTGGCCATGGCCGCCTCCTTCTGGAATGGCACTCCCTGCTCCTGCAGGCGAGCAGCATTGTAGGTCATCAGGCGGGCGGCTTCGATCTCCGTGGCCACTGTGGCGATCTGGTGCTGCATCGACTGGAAGTTGTAGATGGCATCTCCGAACTGCTTGCGCTCCAGCAGGTACGGAATGGTGGCGTCAAAGGTTCCCTGGGCCAGGCCCACCATCTGCGCAGCAATACCGATGCGACCCTCGTTCAGGAAGCCGGCGGCGTACTTGTAGCCATGGCCGAAGGTGCCCAGGATGTTCTCCTCGGGCACACGCACGTTGTCGAAGGTGAGCTGGCAGGTTCCAGAGGCACGGATGCCCAACTTGTCCTCCGGCTTGTTCACGATCAGTCCAGGGGTCTCACGGTCCACAATGAAGGTGGTGATGCCACGGTAGCCCTGCAAAGACAAGGGAAATCGTTATCTTGATGGACTTTTAACTCCTATTGACTTTTGAATCCTTTTTAGAACTCTATATCATGTATAACTTATGCAACATAAGAAAAATTGTATAGAGTACTTTCAATACTGACTTTAAGCAAATTCAGTGTGCTCGTTTTAGTTTGAAAACAATTACGTAATCAGATATAAATTCTTCGTTAAAATATAAATAAAGAAAACGTGTAAAATGAATATCAGGCAGTCCATTAATAAAGCTCTGAATTACGTATCCTCCAACGTAATATTAAGTAAAAAACACATTTACATATTTCAATATTTAACGATCTGCAATCAAGTGAACTTTGATCTAATAGCGATTAGATGGCAATCATTTGGAATAACATAAAGATTAGCAACGGAAAATATTTTGAAATCGTTTAGGGGCCTGCGAAAAAGTGAAAACGAAGCTAATGAGTATAATCGGAAAAATCTAATAAAATAAATATGTTGGAATAATTCGCTTTGGTTTTAAATGGTTTCAGAGATACAACACTGACTTATTGTCCCCCTTCATTTGATATGAATCTTCACTTACATCCTCTGGCTTGGCATTGGCGAAGATTAGGAAGACTCCGGCCACATCGGAGTTAGAGATCCACATCTTGGAGCCGTTGATTACGTAGTGGGAGCCGTCCTTCTTGGCGACGGTCTTCAGGGAGAAGGCATCGGATCCTGCTCCGGGTTCGGTCAGGGCGAAGCTGCCGGCATACTCCTGGGCCAGCTTAGGCAGGTACTTGGCCTTCTGCTCGGCGTTGCCGAACTTGATCATCAGCGAGTTGACCAGTGTGTTGTGAATGTCCACGAAGGCGGCCACGGCAGGATCGATTTTGGACAGCTCCTCCACCACGACGATGTTGGTCATGAAGTTGCAGCCACTGCCTCCCAGCTCGGTGTCGATCTCAATGCCCATCAGACCGTTCTCGAAAACCGCCTTCACCACCGAGGGATCGAATTTGTGCTCAAAGTCCATTTTCTTCACCAAGGGCTGGATCTGCTCCTGGGCCAGTTTTGCAACTGAAAGTTCAGAGGAAATGTCCACATTATATTAAACCTCTTAAATAAATAATAAATCATACCATAACTTTAGGATGTGCTTTGCACACATTACAAATTTAAGAGTAAACTTAGATCATAAGATACTTTTTAATTAAAAGTATTAATAGAGAATTAAATTTATTATATACTTAAGACAAAGAAGAATTCCTAGAGGCTTCATATCTATACCCTATTTATAAGTCATATACTAGTATATGTGTAGATATAGAATCTAACGATCTGTGGAGGAGCTTAATGTCAAAGTTTTCGCAAAAGCTTCTATAAACTTTTAACTGCACGTTTTCAAAAAAGTTAAATCTAAAGCTCTTTGCTTTTTATTCTTTTCTAATTCTTTTTCTTCTAAGGGGCGCGATGTTTGCTGTGCATCTCTTGTTTGTATAGGTTGCCGTATTTTTCTACACGCGTTTGTCTATCAGATGAAAAGTATTCGTGTGTGTGTTTTTATCACCAGATTCTCCGATCGCGTGGGGCTCTCTTTCTGTCTCTTTCGGCAGTTCTTCTATTCTCCCAGCGTATTTATTATTGATCTTTTTTAAGCATTTTTTCTTGTCATTGTTTTTCGGTTTGCTGCTTGGAAAGCCAGCAACTGGTACACACCCACAGAAGCTCCCACACCTCTGCTGCCTCGTTTTGCACACATTTGGAAATACTTTCTTCCGCTCACTTTCGTGGGAATTGCTTAAATGATTAACAACCTTTATATATTCATTTAGTTTTCCAACATATGGACAAGGGTCATTAGGATAATTTCTAGCAGATGTGTCGTGTCCCAATGGTAATGGTAAATTTTACATGTCCCTTTTGGATTTTGGCTTATAGTGGAAACAGAAAACTCAATTAAATCGTGTCATTTCTATAGCCTCGATGGTTTTGTTTTAAGGTTGGGATTGTTCATGGTTTTCAGTTTTGATGCGCAACTGTACTTGGTTTAAGGTAAAACTCTTTCAAGTAAATGTGTGTTTGCTATATCTACGTACCTTAAGTTTACTTAAGCAATCAGGCCCTGAATTATACATATTACGACAGATAATTTAATAAATAATATATGGATCATTCATCTCAAAGTATATGTGTTAACTGTAGCGAAGCCTATGATGTGTAGGTATTTTGAAAATATACAAAACCAGTTTGAGTTCATGCACTTAGCCACTTTGCATTCAGCTCAGATTACGCAACAGTCAGGCCATATAGACACATACTTTTCCACTTGGAATTATTTGTATATAACGCACATATGTACATACATGCGAGTATATGTATGTATGTACATAAGCATTGAAAGCCATATAGATTGAGACCAATTGAGTGATTGATAAGCGGGTCGAGGAAAAATGAATATGGAGGAAAACAAGGTGATAAGCGATAAAAAGGATGTAACCTTCCCAACTAGGAATTAGATGGTTGGCAGGAGGACGAGTCCTCCCAGGTAATTCAACTCTCTAGGGAAGGGCGCCCGACCAAGTGCCACGCCCCGGATTGTCCGGCGTGATCACTAGAACAGTGACCACAGGTGGGCAGGGGGCGTGGCACAGCCGCATTTATTGCTCTATCACAGGTGTAACGCTATTCGGTTGACGTTTAAAACCAGAACCGTACAGCTGACTGACCTGTGAAAACGTAGACAGGATATCTCAAGGACCCTTTATTCTGGACTATATAAAATTCCGCCCACACATACCACAGATATAAGGGAAAAGAGAGGATCGGGTTGATTTGTGGTTCGAACTCGCGATTTGGAAAATTTCTTTCTTTATATGCCGGCCGCTCAACGAGGAACACCACGGCCAACCGAGAAATATTCACGACGAAACTCGATTTTGAGCGGTGGAGGCGAGCAGAAGCTATTTTTAGAACACGTGTGTGTGTGAGCGAGGTAGGCGTGTGTGTGTGCCAGGCCCACCCCTTTTTGCTGGAGCCCACCAAAGTGAGTTTTCTCACATTAAAATTACTATTATCAATTATAAATATATTTTTAAAGAATTAATAAGGTGGGAGGAAAATTGTTCCATAAGAAAAAAAGCTTGTGATAAGGTTAGACCTTGAACTTGCCAAGCTGGCAGCTTTTCGGAAATTAAATATGCACTGTATAGGAATAAATATATACATATAGATAGTATTTCTTTAAACACATTTGACACAACGCGATTATTGATATATTTAATAAATCATAGGTAAATAAATATAAAATATTAGTTTTACTTAATTGTTCATTTATAAGTTCAAAAGCAAATACATTAATAGGTAGTATATATAATGTACATGTACATACTTACATACATATATACTATTTTAGCCAGTAAAAAACTTGTAAGTGTATACATATATAAATATATTGGTTAATATGTATGTATGTAAATTCATCGCTAAAGGAAAGTTTTCAGCTTTAAGTAATCGTATGATTTTGAAGAGCTAACCTAATTTTTTCAATACATAACCCAATTGCCACCCAAGGACCTCATAGGCCTGAATCTTTTACCATTTTGTATACCTTAAACTTTGTGTTATTAAATACCGAAATATGTTCACATTAAATAATTTTAGATAGATAACCACATTACCTTAACCAAGCTTAACTAAGACCCCCACGAGATCCTCATTTACCAAAAAAATGTCTATTACTCTAAAATTAACAACTTCATAGTAATAAGCATTACAAATTATATAATAATCGCAAGAAAACCCGATTTAATACCTCTTCACTGTCAGAAGTCCAAACTAATTAAAATTATAGTTATTTCAGTTAATTGTCATTTCACAACTCTGAAAGTGTACCTCTTGTAATATTCGATCGAACGCCATAAGGAAAATTAACAGCCCTGCCCACGGATACTTAGTTTTAGTTTCACTTCTGCTATCAAAATAAAAATGTGCTTATCTGGCAAGCGGCCTGCTCCGCGTTTCCCCCAACTAAATAAACTTTATCAGCAGAAAAAAGAACAAAACTCGAAAAATACGAATACATATAGTAGTGCAGCAAGCCTTCAGTTGGATAGTAATGGAAAAAATTAATAAATAAGAGCATCATTAATATGCGATGATTGGTGTTACGTAACAGGCACGTCCAACTAAACACCATAAAAATATCCAAAAATCCGACATGGACAAAAACACGCCTATCCAATTTGGGGATACAACTGGACTTACAGTACCACTATACTATGATCTATGTAGATCCAAGGGGATACTCACCAGTCTCCTTCATCATTTTCTCGTCATCAGTGAGGAAGGTGAGGGGTGGGGGGAGACCTGTTGCCGAGGACATCGCAGCATTTTGCTGACGTGCAGCGTTGGCCAGCTGAAAAGATAGCAAATAATGTAAAAAGAATTAGTTGCAGACATGTGTAGGTGTCGGTTCTGGGGGCGTGGCCAACTCACCATGCGCACGGGCAGTTTCTTCAGGCTGTTCATCATCTTGAATGAAGTGGGAGAATTAATTTAATCAAGAGACCAAACTGGACTTTTTTTGGATTTTTGTATCTGATCCCCAGAGGCACCACAACGTTAAAAGTTGGCTGCTCACACGCGACTGAATTTCCATTCTCCAGCAGCAAAGACGATCGCCAGAGCAGCTAGATTTTGAAAGAAGCTTTCTACCACTGAAGCCGAAACTCAACACACTTTGTTGGGTTGGGTAGCTGTTTGCTGTTATTATCGCATTGTTAACATTCGGAAAAAGGCTTTTAAAACGTATTTAGAGTGGTGGTTTGCTATAAGAAATAATTTTAATTATACTGTTTAACTGGAGTTACAAACTCAAATTTGACTTCAAAATCACGTTATAGAATATAATCCCATTTGCAATGATATCACTATTTATATCGTTTCAAAGCAATTCATACATGTCTTCTTAGGGAGTCAAGCCATCTAAGAATATATTTAAAATCTCATTAAAATTTTTATAAGGAAAAATTGAAATGTAACAGTGAAAACAAGTCAACGGGCTTAGCAAAGACATAATCCTTTAAAGTGTTGCGAAGCACATGCCTCGAATTTGACGTTTCACGACCTAGAGATGTCGGTGTCATCGATACTAATTGAATTAAACAATAATTGCAGCAGGTCATAAGAAAAATAGTTATTCATTTTAAAATTCCGTACCTAAAAAATTACGTATAAATGCAAATAAATGTGCTATTAAAACCGTTTGAAAACATCAAAACAAATGTCTTTTCAACGAAACAAACCCAACCGATAACAGCTTTAACTATCGTGACAAAATACCACCTCCAGCTCTGCCTGTTTGCCATCCCTAACCGCGACCCATCTGTCAAATTTCTTTCTTTTCGTTGATTTTTCGACGGTGAGTGCGTTTTCGTGATTAATTTCGTTTTTGGCCCGGCATCCCCACATATTATGCCCCATAAACAATGAAATCGAGCAGAGAAAACAACGCACGACTCGTTCGTGCAATTATTGTGAATTTCGGAGAGTCAGCCAATAAAGCAGTGCCCATTTCTTGTTTACAGCCCGCACAAGCAAGATGAAACAGAACCCGTTCGTGTCGTCGTCGCGCAGGAAGAACCGCAAGCGCCACTTCCAGGCACCTTCCCACATCCGCAGGCGCCTCATGTCCGCTCCCCTGTCCAAGGAGCTGCGCCAGAAGTACAATGTGCGTTCCATGCCCATCCGCCGCGACGATGAGGTCCAGGTGATCCGCGGCCACTTCAAGGGCAACCAGGTGGGCAAGGTGGTCCAAGCCTACCGCAAGAAGTTCGTCGTCTACGTCGAGAAGATCCAGCGCGAGAACGCCAACGGCACCAACGTCTACGTGGGCATCCACCCCAGCAAGGTGCTGATCGTCAAGCTGAAGCTCGACAAGGACCGCAAGGCCATCCTGGAGCGTCGCAGCAAGGGTCGCCTGGCCGCTCTCGGCAAGGACAAGGGCAAGTACACCGAGGAGACCGCCGCCCAGCCCATGGAGACCGCGTAAATCGCCGGCTAAAACTCTACTCTGGACAACTGGGACGTCGCTGTTTACTGTTTTTACCGTAACGCTTAGTGTAAAAAACAAAACATGAAAAAAATCGCGTGTGGAAACGGCGCCATTCTTTACAATAAAGAAAAGTTGATTTTCGCAAATGGATCTGTTGACGTTTTCCTTCAATGGACCAAGATTTAGACAAGTGTTTAGGAAATCCAACGTAGCTGGATAGCTTGTAATAGTTTAAAATTGGCCGATAATTATCAACTTCTCAACTTTCTTAATTTTTTATTATTTTATGGACCTCTAAAAGTTAAAGCCTTGAATTAACTTGCTGCACTCCCTTAAAATGGAATTTCAATTGAATTTTGACGCAAAGTTACGTGTAGTAAGATTGAATGCTTTCCAATCAATAGTCAAACGCTTGATTCAAGTTAAGCTCGTCAAATAAATAATAATGTTGGCCAATAATGACAGCTTTTATTATACGTGAGAGCTACGTATAGTATAGTACCCTCGCAGTGTATTCCTTCTCCATAATCTTGATAAGCATCAACAGCCAAGTCGCTCAAAGTTTCAAAGCTATTTCCTTTAACTTTCCCAATGGTCTTTCTCTCGTAGGAAATATATGTACAGACCGACTCTGAAAACTTCCATATAAATCGGATAATTAAAGAAACAACAATGTCGGTTTTCAGTATTTCTTGATCTTCGACAAATTAGACTTGTTTACGGATATCCTAATGGGTAGATTAGGATATTGGAAAAGAAACAAAAATTAAGTGTTTATTTCACGATTTTCTGTATCGTGGGAAAAGGCACATAGTTTACATATTATTATTAATTACCTTATAGTGGTGAATTTAGGATATATATGTTATTTATTTATCTCAGATTATTATCATAGATCGGCGATCTTTGTCGCGTGCTCATCTGAGCTGCGAGAAATACTTGTGTCACAGCACATGTTAAATTGGTAATTCAACACTTTGGCCATGAATTTTTGTTGGTTATAATAACGAGGTCGAAAAGCCTCGATAAAATATTTTGGTTTCTGTTCTTTGGCACTGGGAGCAATTCTTGATTGACTAAAATTGCTGGCGTCTACTGGACTCGTAGGGAGTGGGACGAGGATCCGCGCGAGACTTGGCCTTTGGCGGCTTCTTCTCCTCCTCGTAATCCTCGCCAAAGTGACGACGCTTCTCCTGCTCGATGAAAGCCTTTCGCTGGGCAGGAAACAACCCATTGGGCTCCCTCACTATGTTGGCCGTGGAGCAATAGACCTGAGGATCGTAATCGGGCACACGGTCGTCGTCGTCCCAGTTCTCTTCGGACTCGATCTTGGGGTGCCTGGTGTCTTCGTTGATAACAGAAGGCGCGCTGGTCTGATAGTGCACTATAATATTTCGATCCTCGCACGATTTGGTGTGTTGCTACGTATACAGAAGGTCGGGCTTTAATAGAATATACCTTCAAATTATACATGTATGTACTCACAAAGAACTGGGGCTCTGGTATCAAATGCGATTTATTAAATGGGCAAACCATTAGTTCCACCGTGTCCTTGTAGATCACACGGCATTTCAGAATGTGCTGCTGGAGCTTCTTGCGCAGCATTTTGTGCTCCTTGTTGTACGGGCAATAAACCATATCGGATTCGTCGTAGTTATCCATCATGAATAAGAATTCGTTCCTTAAAAATACCTTTAAGGTTTCAGATTTCTTTTAAAATGTATTCGTAAAAGACAGACAGTCCGGCAACGCTTTATTTACTTGTTTTATTATATCGATAATAAAATGCGATGCTTTTCTCTGTCTATCGATAAGCACAGATAAATTGCCCTGATATCATAGCTGGAAAATATTTATAAAATTTGTAAATTGGTTACTTGTATGCCACTTAGTAGCGAAACCACACAGCGACAAGATGGGCAAGGGCTTCAACAACTACATGTGCAAGAAATTCTTCCACCCTGCCTCCAGGGACAATCTCAAAAGGGTAAGTGGCGCCAGGCCCCTGATGAAATATGTTCTTTCCAAGTAAGATGCCTAAAACTATACGAATTACCTTCTGCAGGTCTGGATGGCGGAGCAGCAGGCGGAGGCTTACAAAAAGAAGCAGGAGGAGCTACGCAATCAGTATGAAAAAGAGCAGAATCTGCACGAGAACAAAGCGATGCTCAGCAAGGACAGCAAGGATAAACTGAGCGTAAATTTCATGTACGAGCCACCGCCAGGGGTGCGAAAGGAGCGCGAAAAGGATGACAACGAGCCGGAGTACAAGTTCGAGTGGCAGCGAAAGTACAATGCTCCTAGGGAGTCGTACTGCAAGGGCGACACTGAGATCAGGGACCAGCCCTTCGGAATCCAGGTGAGGAACGTGCGTTGTCTCAAGTGCCACAAGTGGGGCCACATCAACACGGACAAGGAATGCACCATGTACAGCATTTCTATGAGTGAGGCACGGAAACTGCACGCGGAAACTGAGGCTAGCGACATCATGGCCAAGAACGTGTTGGAGGAACAGATGAAGGAGGATGGACTAATGATGAAGCGATCGGCACAGGAGCTGCAGAGCATAAGGACAATACAACAGCAGCATCAACTGGTGCCCAGCGATGGCGAGGAGGAGGCCCACGCCAATAACCAAAATCCCGAACTCGTCTTTCTCAAATCGCTGTCCAAGAAGCAGAAGCTAAAACTTTTAAAAAAACTGGAGAAGATTGAACGAATGAAGCGCAAGGGAGAGGGCATCAAGAAATCCTCAAAAAAGAAATCAAAAAAGGATTGGCAAGAGAAAGATAGTAAGAAAAAGAAATCCAAGAAGGACAAGTCAAACAGAAAAGCCAAAAAGGGTTCAGTTAGCAATAGCTCAGACTCGTCGTTATCCTCGGACAGCAGCGACTCCGAAGACAATCACAGAAGCAATCACAGGGACGACAAGAGAAATGGTCATCAAAGATCTAAAGACTCGGATCATATCCACCAACGACGAAGCAATGAAAGTAGACATCGCAGAGATCGATCCCGCTCTAGAGATCGCTCGCGGTCCCTTAGCAGAGACCAAAGAAAGGAGAGGGAGCGCAGAGATCGGTCCAGGCGGTAGAATTAGTCTTGTAAAACCCACCAATAAATTTTTACCAATTTTTATCATCATATTTAATAAGCTAATTTAATTTATATTTCCTTTGCATCATAAAGTAGTATTTATTTTTTATGCGGCGATCTTTTTAGCTAGAAGTTTTAAAATCAATCATTCTTGTAGTTAGCTTTGCTATAATTATTTATTTTGACAGCGTGTGATATACATAGCTTAAAGAATTTATTGGGTATTATGTGGTGCTTCTAATTTGGTCTAAATCCGGGCGAGTTGTGCAGTTGTCGACGATCCGGCGGAGACGCAGAGCTCGGCGCCGTGGTTGCTGCCACCTTCCCTGGAAATGCTCTTCACGTGGATATGGCTCTTGAGCATCGCAGCCCGGAGGACAAGCATTCTGGTATGACGCTGGTACTGCTTGCCCATGATTAAAGCCCTCTCAAAGGTGCTGTTCCTTTGATCCGCCTCCTTCGCGTACAGGATTTTATTGTGCGAGTCAATGCGCGCCTGGATCTGTCCGTCCAATATCAACTGCATCACCTCGTTCTCCAGATCGCCCACCGACGAATTAAATGCCATGGCCATTTTGCGCATATCAGCTGACATATAGGGGCTAAAGTACTGGATTAGCGCGCGATTGCGTATCTTGGTGTACAGAGTGGTTACATGGGGCGCAATGTACATGTCGACCAGCAGGTTATCCCTGATCTCATCCAAAAGCGTCAGGCAGGAGGCGTATTTACTTTCGTAGAACTTGAAAATAATATCCCTGAGTTGGGGCTCCAGTTCCAAGAACAGTTTGAAGGATGTAGAGGCGATGACCAGGCGCTTAAGCTCTTGTCGATCGAAGGTGGCCAGGGCGCAAAGGCCACCATAGACCGCCACATTGCTGGTGGAGATCATTTCGGGAAAGTCACAGTGATCGAAGTTGGCATTGAGGAAATGCTTGGCGGCCACCTTATATTTCTTTTGCTGCAGTTCCGCCAGACCAGCTGCGCATTCAAGGCGAGTATGAACCTGGGCATTAGCCTCCTTGGAGCCTTCGGCGAAGTCCGGGGTGCTTTCCGCCTTGGATATGTAGCTCATCACATGGGCCCAATTCTGGAGATAAATTGATACCTTGATTACGTTGAGGCACATGTTGACCACATGCTTCCCACTAGTGCAGTAATCTCGGGCCCGAGAATAGCACTTCAGGGCATTGGTGAGGTCGCCACAACTGAGGTAATGGTCAGCCAGGTCATCGTGGCCCCTCCGGATGCTCTCTTTAATCGAATTGGACTTGTAGTTTTTCAAGTCCGAGTCTAGTTTCTCCAGCTTAAGAGCCGCCTTCTTCATCTTGGTGTCTACCCAAGCGGCATCGTAGGCGAAAGCATCCTTTTCGCCAGCGGGCTGAACCTGTCCTTGAGCCTGCGCCACAGGTTGGGCTGCGATATCCGGAAGGGGAGCAGCTGGCAGAGGACCGGGAGCTGCTGCTGCAGCCTGATCTCCAGCAGCATTTGCTGGCGGCGCGGGCGCGTTGCCAGCGTTTAGATCACTTAAGCGCTTGTGCAGCACCTGGTAGAGATTTACGTTGTAGGTGGTCTGCACGTAAGTGATGGCCATTTTCAGAGCCTCAACCGCTAAAACCGGGCAGACGTCCGCCACATAAATTAGTCGATGGAGTCGGACGATCCCGGCATATTGATTGGCGTACACTTCGAGATCAATGCTGGGATTCTCCACCACAATCTGCTGCTCCTCGTTGTTTTCATTGTCCTCGTTCGGCGGCGCGATGTCTACTTGCATCGGCTCCACGGCGTTCTTTTGTTGGATAAATAACCGATTTTTGCGGTTTATATGGCTTCAGATAATGCAATTTTGCTGAATAATTACCTGCATGAGTGGGGGCATCGGCAGCACGGGCATCCTGCTTTTATTTCCTACGAAAGTCCTGTGAAAATACACAAATTTCCGCTAAGTTTTTGTTTATTTGTCAATTAATTTTTCCGATTCGCAAATTATTTTGCATCGATAATCTAGAGGTGGACAATGTGAGCAACGCTTTTGGTCGATAAATGATAGCTGCATAGTAAAAAAGCATTTGTCAGACTAAACTACATACCTTTATATGTTTCTATCTCCGTGATGCAACATGATATTAATTATAAAATTATATATGCACTCAGAAATTATTAACAATGCACGGTGGTTTTAAGCGTCTGTGTGCACATGCTATAATGTGAATTCCAGTATCGATAACCTTTTAAATTCTGTGACTACGGACTCACTATCGTTATCAGACACTATTTTAGAAGAAGAAGCGCACCACGCATTAGTAAACTTTCAATTTCAATTGAAATTACTTAAATAAAGTAGTTAATATTAATATAGAAGTAAGGCAAGATGTCCAACATAACGGCGGCAGTTATAGCCAACCGCAACAAAAAGCATTTCCTGGGCGTTCCAGCTCCCTTGGGCTATGTGGCCGGCGTTGGTAGAGGGTGAGTGCCACCAAACATTCTTCTAGCGAAGCAAAACTCAATGCTAATAGTATCGTTTCTATTGTAGAGCCACGGGATTCACCACTCGGTCCGATATTGGTCCTGCCCGTGACGCCAACGATGTTTCCGATGACCGCCATGCTCCGCCGGCGACCAAACGTAAGAAAAAAGACGAAGAGGAGGAGGAGGACGAAGACTTGAACGACTCAAACTATGACGAGTTTAGTGGTTACAGCGGCTCCCTGTTCTCCAAGGATCCGTACGACAAGGATGACGAGGAGGCGGACGCTATCTATGATTCGATAGACAAGCGAATGGACGAGAAGCGGAAAGAGTATCGTGATCGGCGGCTGCGCGAGGATTTGGAGCGGTACCGCCAGGAGCGACCGAAAATCCAACAGCAGTTTAGTGACCTGAAACGCTCACTGGCCAGCGTCACATCGGAGGAGTGGTCCACAATTCCCGAAGTGGGCGATAGTCGCAACAGAAAGCAACGAAACGCAAGGGCCGAAAAGTTTACCCCCCTGCCGGACAGCTTGATATCCAGAAACCTTGGCGGCGAGTCGACCTCTACCTTAGATCCGTCCTCGGGCCTGGCTTCTATGGTGCCCGGCGTAGCCACTCCTGGCATGCTAACACCTACGGGAGATCTTGATCTTCGAAAGATTGGTCAGGCCCGCAACACTCTTATGAACGTCAAGTTGTCACAGGTTTCCGATTCCGTGACAGGACAAACTGTGGTGGATCCCAAGGGCTATCTCACCGACCTGCAAAGTATGATTCCCACTTACGGTGGTGACATAAATGACATCAAGAAGGCACGTTTGTTGCTTAAGAGTGTAAGGGAAACGAATCCTAACCATCCACCCGCTTGGATTGCCTCCGCCCGTTTGGAAGAGGTTACTGGCAAGGTCCAGATGGCCAGGAATCTGATTATGAGGGGCTGCGAAATGAACATCCAATCTGAGGATCTCTGGCTGGAGGCAGCTCGCCTTCAGCCGCCAGATACAGCAAAAGCGGTGATAGCGCAAGCGGCTCGTCATATTCCTACCTCGGTTAGGATTTGGATTAAAGCAGCTGATCTGGAAACGGAGACTAAAGCCAAGCGTAGAGTTTTTAGAAAAGCTCTAGAACATATCCCAAATTCAGTTCGCTTGTGGAAAGCGGCTGTGGAACTTGAGAATCCCGATGATGCACGTATCTTACTCTCTCGCGCCGTGGAGTGCTGCAACACCAGTGTGGAACTTTGGTTGGCTCTCGCCCGCTTGGAAACCTATGAGAACGCCCGAAAGGTCCTAAACAAGGCTCGGGAGAATATTCCGACAGATCGCCAGATTTGGACCACAGCTGCGAAGTTGGAGGAGGCCAATGGTAATATTCACATGGTGGAAAAGATCATTGATCGATCATTGACCTCGTTGACCGTCAACGGTGTGGAGATCAACCGTGATCACTGGTTCCAGGAGGCCATCGAGGCGGAAAAATCAGGAGCTGTCAACTGTTGCCAATCCATTGTTAAGGCTGTGATTGGAATAGGAGTGGAGGAGGAGGATCGCAAGCAGACTTGGATTGATGATGCTGAATTTGTAAGTGCTTAAAAACACATAACATTTTTGAAATTAAATAACCGAAATCTCTTTTCCCTCTTTCAGTGCGCAAAGGAAAATGCTTTTGAATGCGCTCGCGCTGTATATGCTCATGCCCTGCAAATATTCCCCTCAAAGAAAAGCATCTGGTTGCGAGCCGCTTACTTTGAAAAAAACCATGGCACCCGCGAATCTTTGGAGGCTTTGTTGCAGAGAGCCGTTGCTCATTGTCCGAAATCGGAGATTCTTTGGCTGATGGGGGCCAAATCCAAATGGATGGCTGGAGACGTTCCAGCCGCCAGAGGTATTTTGTCTTTGGCCTTCCAGGCCAATCCCAATTCCGAAGACATCTGGTTGGCTGCCGTTAAGTTGGAATCAGAGAATTCTGAGTATGAGCGTGCGAGACGCTTGTTAGCCAAAGCTAGAGGATCTGCACCGACGCCAAGGGTGATGATGAAATCTGCTCGTCTGGAATGGGCTTTGGAAAAGTTCGATGAAGCCCTGCGGTTACTGGAGGAGGCGGTGGAAGTGTTTCCAGATTTCCCCAAACTGTGGATGATGAAGGGTCAGATTGAGGAGCAGCAGAGACGGACAGATGATGCGGCTGCCACCTATACTCAGGGCTTGAAGAAGTGTCCTACATCCATCCCACTGTGGATTCTTTCCGCCAATCTAGAAGAACGCAAAGGAGTGCTAACGAAGGCTCGATCCATTCTGGAACGAGGTCGTTTGCGCAACCCCAAGGTGGCTGTTCTCTGGCTAGAGGCCATCAGGGTGGAGCTGCGTGCGGGTCTTAAGGAGATTGCCAGCACAATGATGGCCAGAGCTCTGCAGGAATGTCCCAATGCTGGTGAGCTATGGGCGGAGGCTATCTTCATGGAAACCAAGCCCCAGCGAAAGACCAAGTCTGTTGATGCTCTAAAGAAATGCGAGCATGACCCACATGTGCTGCTAGCCGTATCGAAACTGTTCTGGTCTGAGCACAAGTTCTCCAAGTGCAGGGATTGGTTCAATCGAACGGTAAGTAATTTAAACTAACTATGAAATTAAATAGAAGCCAATATTTTCGGAGCTAATCATTTGTTTATTTCAGGTCAAGATCGATCCAGACCTGGGTGATGCTTGGGCGTATTTCTACAAGTTCGAATTGCTCCACGGCACGGAGTCGCAGCAGCAGGAGGTTCTCGATCGGTGCATTTCTGCAGAACCCACGCACGGCGAGTCCTGGTGTCGGGTTAGCAAGAACATCCAGAACTGGCAGTTTAAGACACCGGAGGTACTGCGTGCCGTTGTCCGGGAGCTATCCATACCCATCTAAGTTTTAAGTTTTAAGTTTTTAAAGATTAAACGTGTGCAGCCTAGCGCTGCATTTCTCTATAACCTTTAATTATGCGATAAACTTGTTTGAAGTATTTAAAGATAAACTCTAAAAGGAACAAGCCAAAACTGACGGCAGCTCCACATCCAAAGATCCCCAAAGCGTACCGGCATTCTGTAATGCCTATGGAGACAAAGCCGCCTACTCCACCCTCGCATTTGGGCTTCTGAGGAATCCACTTCCGCTCCTCGCGATTCACCAAGCTCACTTCTCGCTGCCAGCGTAATCTGTTGGTTAAAAAGTATTTTATGTTTTTTTTTTCTTTTTCGAACAAGTTATTCAAGTGCAAATAAGATGCGTAACGGCCATACATTGGTTTTGCACTATGCAGCCACTTTTTTGGTGGCGGCAGTAATTGCAGTAATAAATAGAATTCACTTGCTTGTGTGAGTGAAAACAGTAAACAAAAAAGTTGTGCTAACGGTCCGAAATCAATTTTGATCTAAGAAACGAATTTGATTAATGGTTTGGTCAATTTCGTTGTAATATGAGCTAAATATTATTTAAAATTGATGCCGTGACTATTATATTTTTTTAAGAAGTTGTTTTAATATTCTTTAGTTAAAATCGCCGCTCGAATTAGCTACCGTTTACATATAAATATTTTTATTCTTAATTATCTGTAATATATGTATTTTTTGGTACCCAGGGAACACCACGGGGAGGACATTACAATTGTAATGAAGTCGTATATTTATATGACCTTCGAGTCGACTTGAAATAATAAATGTTAAACATAAAATATTTCCATGTTTATGTATGTATGTATGTATGCATGTATTTATGTATGTATGTATGTATGTGTTTAGTGTATGTGTTACTTGCACAAAGTAGTAAAAATTGTCTTAATTAAAGCCTGAAGAATGTTTAACTTACTGTCGGAACACATAGTTATTGCCGCTTTTAATATTTTCTGAGGGAAAATATTTTCTAGTAGCCCTATAATTCCCAACTAGTTCTAGCGAAGACTGTAAGGCATGTCTTCTAATTTAGAGTCACAAAATAGTAACCTCTCTTACAGGCAGTGAGTGTAGTGTATGTACCGGTGTATGTAGGTATGTATGTTTGTATTTATGTATGAATCTATGCATGAATCTATGTATGTATGTATGTATGTATGTATGTATGTATGTATGTATGTATGTATGTATGTATGTATGTATGTATGTATGTATGTATGTATGTATGTATGTATGTATGTATGTATGTATGTATGTATGTATGTATGTATGTGTGTATGTATGTATATGTGTATGTATGTATGTATGTATGTATGTATGTATGTATGTATGTATGTATGTATGTATGTATGTATGTATGTATGTATGTATGTATGTATGTATGTATGTATGTATGTGTGTATGTATGTATGTGTGTATGTATGTGTGTATGTAGTGTACGTGTTACTTGCACAAAGTTGTAAAAATTGTCTTAATTAAAGCCTGAAGAATGTTTAACTTACTGTCGGAACACATAGTTATTGCCGCTTTTAATATTTGCTCTCTCTATCTCTGGCTCTTGAACAAAAATTCGAGAGAGCCTGGAGCCTGCTCTAGTGCCAGCCCGAAAAAATCGTGTCCAAAAAAATCGTATGGCGTTACGCATCTAATTATTCTAGTGTCTTTGGTTAAACGTTTAAATTACTATGGGACTTTTAGTATAAAAATTAATAAATTACCTATTTTTAAAAGTAAAAGTTAATTGGAAAGCGAAACGATTTTGGCATTATAAATATGCTTACTGTCTTCGAATGAGCTCCTTGTAAGGAAAGTTTTTCCTCGTTGGAATAGCAAGCATGGGCAGCTGGAATGGCTCCAGTTCCATTAATCCGCACTTTTCCGGCTCACTGAAAGTGTCGCTGACGATTTGGTAACCTGCCTGGAGTTCAACTTGATATGCAAATAAGCCGGTTCGCATTTTTTCCATTCCTAGTAACGGTCGCATATAGATATTTTCACCTTTGGAGGCTATCTTCTTGTGGTAAAGATTCTTGGTTACGGGATCTGTGGACTCAGTGAAGTATATTTTATTATATTGAGTATCCTGAACCCCGATTTCCAGAGGCGATTGTCCCAGATCAGACAATGACTGGATAGCATCCGATGGACTTTGCAGCAGAGCCACAATATTAGCCGAAAACGAGGTAAACAAAAAGAGAGCTGCAACAAATGTGGTAAAGACAATGATCCTCGCCGATCGGTTCCGCACCTCCACGTAGAATCCCTGCTGGCACATGGCACCCCAAACAAAATTAAGTGTATCCATGTAGGACATGTCGTGGTTGTGGGGTGAAAAGAACAGTTCCAGAACCAAAACCACGGTCGTGATGATCAGGAGCATCAAAATCGAAACCCACACATCGTTCTCAAAGGGCATTGCAAATATATTGGCCACAGCCGAAAGAGGTGGCTGTCGAAACATAATCCCAGCTCTCACTCGATAAGTCTCAGCCACAAAATCGACCAATGCGATTCGATCCAATCTCATGAAGATCGCCAGCTGGGCCAAGTCTAGTTCGTACCGTTGAAAACGTCCCATGAGACCATCGAATGATCCATTCGGTTGTCGCCATCCATAGTTCACGGTTTGATAGGTATTGTAGCTGCAACAGAATGTGTTCGACCCATATAATCTTCTTAATATAATAAAACAAATAAAAATAGGAGAAGAGAAGAAATCTCACTAACCTCATATTCAATCTGTTGGCCAACTCCAGCATCAAGCGATGATTAATCTTCGATATAGTGTCAATATGCCTTAGTGACAAATCTTCAATATTAGTGAATAGATCCGGAAAGGCAATTACAATGGCCGAGTTGAATACTATGCCCTCTAGATCCTGCCTATAAGATATGGCCGAACCAAAGTGCTGCAAGGCATGAATGACGTGGCGGGAATTTCGAATGCTATGTCCCACCAATGTTTTCTTCAAGGGCTTCCAAGCAGCTACCTTGTACAGATCGATCAAGCTGGAAGAGAAGTTGCCATCGTTTTCACAGTGAAGGACCCGCAACTCACTGTCGGGGGGAATAAATATTTCCGGATCCTCTAGTAAATCGATATCGCCTGGCTCATCGGTCAAGAGCAACCAGAACCGGTTGGTAGTGAAGTAATTATGTTCCGATGCCGCAGACCAGCGGAGTAGATTTAATGCGCACTCGCTGCTGAACTCCAGCAGCAGGATACCCACTTTGTAGGGCAACGTGGGCAGCAGGAAGGACGTCTCCCAGTGGGTGGAGTTGTTGGCGCGGAAACTCTTGGGCGGTGGAGCGTCCTTATGTTCATCCAGGGCATCGACATGCTGCAGGTCCCTCAGAGAGGTCTCCGTACTGACCTGCACATAGAAATTGTTGAGGTTGAAGTGCTGCCAAAGCGTCCAAAGGCGAAAATCTGCTAAAGGGGAAACGACGAGCACAGAGAAAACAAATTTGTGGAGTTCAAAGATTTGCAGCATTCGATTAAAATTCGATTAAAAAGTATGTATTATATGGAATAATGGTGTAAGGAAAGTTAGAACAGTTAACAAAGACCATATTGGGAATACTAAATTGGGATGTTAGAAATCTATACTCATTTATAGGGTTGTCTAGAAGTATGCAACGGTATATCTGTTGTAAAAATTGTATCTTTGACGGAAGTAGCGTGGCTTAAATGAGCTGAGTCTAGTTTAAGATAACAGGGATTAAGTAAAATTAGGCCTATGTTAAATCCAAAAGCAAGATTGGTATTTAAGATATCCCTAAAGATTATAGCATTTCCTTGGCCCATTTTTGTCTGTGTACTTTTGGGTCATAAATTTGTCCCCAGCAGCACATTGCATGCAGAGGGTTAATTCACCAATGTCCGTGTGACAAACGACCAGCATCAGGCTGTGAACGCCGTGGTGGCGATAGTAAGCGACTAGCATATCCGGCAACTGATTGCCCCACCGTGTTTTCGGGTCCGGATCCTGCCGGGAATTTTCGCTCCGCCAGCTGCCAGCGACACGTGGTGTCCCACTGACGAGCAGGAAAAATATCAGAGGGAGCCAGCGCGCGACTTGAACTTTCATCACTGTGAGTATTAACGAGTTGCTGTCTTTTCGCTTTTGCATTTTTCCGACGCGCTTTTTCAGGGATTTGAGACCCTGGCTTTTATAGGCAAAAGGACATTCGCCAGTAATTGCATTCAGGAATTGCATTAAAATTATGCATTGATTACACTCCGCTGCACTTCCTTTCCGTCCGCGTTGATGTCCACACGCACATCCACATCCACATCCACGTCCACGGGCACACATCTGCTGTCATTACGAAGGGCAATCTTCGCGAGCAATTTTGCGACAACTGCAATTGGTCATCGATGGCGTTTAATTGGTCCGAGCAAGTGGCGCGCAAATTGTCCTCGTTGAATTGGAAGTGCGGACAAAGTCAATTACGTGTCAACGACGACCGGAACGGAGAAAGTTGCTCCAACATTCAGGACTTGGACTTGGCTTTCGCATAAGCACATAAGTTTGGGCCAAAAGGAAATGGAAAGTTTCGCAGTGAGTTTAATTTCACCAATTTAGTTGATTCTATCGCTAAACTGGTTATTATTCTATGAACAGTAATTAATTTCTTATGTAGGTGATTTTAGTTGACAACTAATTGTAGTTAAGCAAAGCATCTTGGTTCATTTTGACATAAATTAAGCCAGCAACTAGCACTCTCACATTAATCTTTCTTATCCTCGAAAAGTTAGCTCTTAAATTAGTTAAGAATGCAAATTCTTCTTTATAAATTTGACTTTCAATAAGCTAAAATCAGTATAAGAGCCAGTAGTTGGCCCCAAGGCATGGGCATTAAGAAGCAATTAAGAAAGCTGTAACAAAAAGTAAGATGGCAAAATATAAGCAAATTTGATCAAGCGTGGGCGCCATATACAAAAACACACACATGCCTAGAATAGAGGAACTGGTATTAGCACGATGTCACAGGACAACGACAAAACATAAGGATAAGGACATGGCCACGCAAACAGCCCCACTCCTGACGACATTAACACAATTACAATCTGAACATGTGTTAGTCCTCTAAGACATGCGTTGACTATAAAGAAAAATCCAATTAAAAGTGATAAAAGTTATTGAAGCGTAGCGCAGCAAAAAGGAAAACCATTAGGAGAAAAATAGCAGGAAAAACAAATGGCCGAAATGCGGAAGAAAGGCGAAAAGGCCGGAAACGAAGGCAATACAAAGTGGCTGCCATTTGTGGCATGGTACGTAGATATGGCGCTGATTGCAACACCAGATTATCGCACAGATTTGGCGAGCTGGGAGACATGCCAAGGATAAATCAGGATTCGCCACCGGACCACCTGCCCCACATTTGGCTCGGATAATCATTCATGGGGCCAAACGAACAGGAAACGATTGTACAGCCCGAAAACACTTTCCGATTCAATTAAAGTTTAAAAGAATACGTACTCAATTGAGACGAGGGTACTGAATTTCAGATAGCCCTTTGATTGGTTCCGCGGGATAGCAGTGAAAATAAATAAAATATTCAAATGTTTTACCTACATTCGGTCCTTTTCATGCAAAATACTAATAAATAAATAAAAGATAATATTAAAAAAAAAATTCTTTATTTTGAATAAATCGTATCACTTGAAAAGTATTAGAATCAATTGGAAAATTGCGTTTTTTAGGATTTCGCAGCGCAGCGGACATACGAACTGTTGCCCTTGATGAAACATTTTTTAGCCTTTGTGGCTTAAATACCCTTCGAAAAACAGTTTGCTTGTAGACAACTTTTATTGCAGATAGTAAACATCGATCCGAGACTGGGAATTTTAATTGGGGCAGACAATTTTGATTTTTTTTTTGGGGGTTCGGGTTGGTTTTTGTTTAAATTTCAATGCTGGTAATTTTGCATGCACATTTTTTAGGTTTACGGAATCAAGAGGAACTATTGTTTACTGCGCTTCTTGTTTTCTAGCCTCTTTTTCAGCAGCTGCAGCCTCCTTTTTGAGCTGGGCATCCCTTTTAGACGAGTGTTTGCGCCAATTCTTAACGACCTTGTCAAACTCTTTAAGCCGAGCCTTCTTATCCTTCTCCGTCTCTGGATCCTTTCCAATGCCACTCTCGTCCACTTCGTCCTCATATCCTGCTGGAGGCAAGGCATTAAAGTGACTATTGTGAAAAGCGGTGCGATTTCCATCCTTAAACCAGTATCGCTTCGTCCGCCTGTACATATGTTCATAGTTCCTAAACTCAAGACGTTCCTCCTCCGATCGTGTACTAAAAACCAAAAGTGTGAGAATGGCTACCATAGGCAGGACTCCATAGAGCGAGATTTTCTGCCAAAGTTTGGAGTGTTTCGCAACAATTGCTAAACAAATATATGACCAGTTTAAAAAAAACTGTTTTAACATATATGCCAATACCCACGTGGTTTCTTTCCTGTCCTGCCAGGACAGCCAAGGTCCCCTCCTTGGATTGTTGTTAGAGGTTTCTTTTTCTTTTGAATACTTTTACCTAGTAACAAATCATCGCATGATTGCAGTTTCTTTTTATTTTTACTAATTTCTGCAGCAGGCGGGGTTTTTGGCGGGCATTTTGAGCCTCCGGATATGGCTGTTTCGTCCTTTGGCGGCGTAGCTTTAGCTTCCTTAGCCGCTTTAGGCGTTGTCTCTGTACGCAAGAAACATGCATTTTTAATTTTATATATTAATTTCACAAGCTACGCATCTTAACCCTTCTTTGCGGAGGCCTTGGCTGCTTCTGGAGATTTCTTCACTGCGTCCGAAGATTCTGCATCTTTAGTATCTTTGCACTTCGCGTCTGCAAAGAGTCAACAGTACTATAGGTACACTATAGGTATTTTACACCCGACGTACTCTTTGATCCTGTACCAGAAGATTTTCCATCAGATTTTGACATTAATCGCTGAGTAAAAACCGTGTTGATTGCATACCGCGGGTGTAGGTGTTTCAGTATTTGCAAGTGCCGCATTTTTTAAATGAAAGATAAATTTTAAAGACAGTTTGCCGAATCACAATTTTAAATTACAATTTCCCCAACATGCCAACTGGTAGCCTACCTAGAAAAACCAGAAGTCTAAGAACTTTAAAGCCCTTGCAATTCTAAAGATTTTAAAGCGCAATCCTTTATCCAATAAGTATAGATTATTGAAAAAGGCTAATTAAAAGATAAAATAAATTGATAAATAAAATACAATTTAAACCTAATCTAAACAATAGTTTATTATGTTGCTAGGAAGCTCAAAATTGTCAAGTTTTTCTAGACTTCTCTTCCGTAGTTTTAAGCTTTAACTTAACACACTACTGCCCATTCTTCGCTGTGAGTAATTGCCGCCGCTAGATGGCGGCAGTCCATTAATCATTTCGCTCATGCTTTTCGACGTGCGCCTGTCATGTTCAACTACTTTTATAATTTTCGCGCTATGGGTTCGGTTGGTCAGTACATTTTTTATTACTCGCTCTTGCTTCACTGTACTTCTTCCTCCCATCCATTTTGTACTTATGTAATCCATATGGGATGAACAAGCTTATGATTGCTCTTCAAGGGCACGGAGCTTGCCTTTCATCCGCTTTTTGTCGGGCTTATTGAGCTTAAATTAATGCAAATCTGAATGTTGGGTTGGTGACCTATTTTCCATGTAGATTGCGTTCCATGTGGAAGGGTTTAGCCTTTGAAGGCACTGCAATTATCGGAGATCTTTCACTCGACTGCCCAAGATTGTGTCGGGTTGTGCTTGATTTGCATAGGGTACAAAAGACCTGAGGCCTTTGACAATTAGTGTGTGGTATTTATAGAGCCGCTGTAACCTTTGCTACCTTTGTGGTGTTTTGTTGCCTTTAGGCTCTATTATTTTGAAGGCTGTATTTGTGTAACACTGGGCTAAGCTAAATTGAAGCATGCTTGATGTTTATGCATCCACAATGTGCTACTTTGTGCTACCTTTTGGCTTTCACGCCTTTGAAATACATTTAATCCATCATTGCACAGGCATACATGTTGAATTACGTAAGGGTGTATCACTTTACTGCCCTTAAAGTCGCGAGCTTGCAATAAAAAGGTAATTTGATAATAATCATTAAATAATATAATTGCAAAACAAAATTGTATTATTTATACAGAGGTTTTCCTACTTTTAACGCCTTTATTTTTAATCGCATTAAAAATCGTATTCTGCGTTCCACAAATTATTTCTCAACTTTAAAAATTCTGTAAATATAATTCAAAATATCAGAAACATATTGTATAGGCAAAAGCTTCGTTCACCCTATTGCAAATGTATCCATTCAAAGGATCCCGGTCTAGCCCGTGGCCATGTCTGAATGTCTACAGCTTTATTGACTGCCCGTTTTCAATTTGCCTGAACATAAGAGGGCCGGGAAACCTGTTGAAAAGGTGCAAAATCGCTCGTTCATTCGTTAGCCCCGCCCGTTCACCTTTTGCCCCCTTTCCCCATCCCTTTCACCCTTAGGCAAACACGCTTAGGCAGCCTTATCAATCAAAGGTATCTCAGTATATACAGTATGTGGATTCGAACACACCCTCGGAGATACAGAACACGCCCACACGTATGTTATTAATAAGGGCCATTTATCAAGGGCCGGGACCTTTAAATGGTGCGAAGCTCCTCAATACAATGTGCCAGATCGAGTAAAATTCGGATTAAATTGTCGGCTTTTTACTCGATTTCCACTTTCATTTAAGTATTTTATGCCAGTTTGTCGTGCGATGCGATGAAATCGTGTGTGTGGTAAAAGCGATTCAAGTTAAATGGGTTCTCCCTCTGTCAGGTGGCAAATGAAATGGCCTCTAAAGTATATCTAAGGCAATTAATATTGATTGGAAACTCATAAATTTGGCACTATAATTTATGACGTGAGGAAAGATAGATAAATCTAAAGGAAGGTCTCGGTGAAATGTGTTTGATTGAGACAGATTTTCCTTAGCTCGATGAGCGGAGAGAAACCGGTTATTCGATTTTTAATTCAATTTGGCGAATGAATATTAATTTGATAAAGTATATTATATGATAAGTAAAAAATTACATCGTCCTTTGCAAATTTTGCAATTATGAATGTAACAGCCTATGGGATTTTTTCAGTTTTATAATTTTAAATGCAACATTTTCATAAATTGCGGACCGAATTCAATCAAGCAAATAATCGTCTTACAGTAAACGCTCCATTATGCGAACACAACGAAATGCCCATTGGAGACATCAAGAGGGATATAAAATAGAGCTCAATATGTCAAAGTTCGTCGGCCATTGACATTAATTAATGGAATGTAAAATGAACAGCGTCGCACAGCAGGGAAAGCAGCGAAGGCAGATAGTCGGGCAATTAGGCCCCAATCCCAAGGAAAAGGACCTTCAGCCGGATACGGTAACTTGGACGGATACGGAGAAACAGCCAGAAACCCGGACGGCGCAGATGGGTATCGCGTATAATTTGTGAAAATTGATGATTTGTTTAGATTTACGAATGAGCGAACAAAACGAGCCAAATTGGCACGTAGCGAGGACGAAAGGAAATCCGGACAAAGGAGAACGTGGTTGCCATGCCTTTTCCCCGTTTTCAGCAACGAAGGCTTCAAGGTGTTCGCTAATTGATTCGATATAGATAAATGACCTCACAGGGCGCTGAGCTGCCGCTAGGTGGCGCCAGATAATGATTAACGAGCGCTTCCCTTGGCTCTTTTGGGGCTTTTACCCCAGTCGCCCAGTCCAGCATTCATACGTTCAAATTTCTCGATATCCTTGAAAGGCCTAGGAAATTCCAGTCGCTACCAGAAATTCGAATCCTGCTGTGGCCATAAGCCTTAATTACTTGTTGATTATAAATTATTGCCTACTGAAAGGATAACCTAGGGGAAAGCACCCTCCTTGACTGTTGATTAAATAACTTAATTAGGCGTCCGACGGTCTGCGTAGCTCATCAACTGCTAGTTTGAATGACTGTTGATTGGCGAAAATATCATAACTAGATTGAAAATGAACTGGATTAAATATAATGTACATTATATTTGAAATAAAAATGTAGTACAATCAAAAATTTCGGGATCTTAACATTCTTGAGGGCTAAAGTGTTTAGAGGTAATTAACTGATTGCACCTTGTGAAAGTCTAAAATAGGTACTACAAGCCCTTGGAAAAGATATGAAATGTAATACCAGAAGTACGCCAAAGATATACTTTTGGTTGAAGCGTGTAAAAAACTCGTTCTATTTTGTAGGTACATATTATCTGCATTGTTTGGGTAATTCCCTTAACTTTTCCACTTGTCCACAAAATAATAGAAGCACTAAGTGTCTCAAACCAATTAAGATTGAATGAATGAGTCTACGTAGGGCCGTAAGAATCCGCACACTTCGGCGCTTCACGTGAATAGATAAGACCAATATTGTGTTGTTCTTCAGAGATAATGGTCAAAATGGCGAGATTCGTTTTATTAACTATTTTTCATTAATTTGCGCGATATGGCTGGGGCCTATTTAAAGATGTCGCGGGGGCCTTGTGGTTCTTAAATCTGAAATGAAGTGCATCGGATTCTCATTGCTGTTGATTGGGCTGCTGGCTGCTCCGGCTGCCTGGGCTCGAGTTCCCTATCCGGAGGTGGAGCTTCCTCCAGTGGTCGAGGATGATGGGATCTTCCAACGGATTGCTGTGGCACCTCCTCAACCCGTGGGTCGTGCAGGAGGTAGATGATCTAATTAAGTTGTTGTACTACTAAATGCATTTTATAGAACTCCGTAATTATTTTCAAGTTAATACAACTTAGGAGGTTTTAGTAGCAATTCAAATAAAAACTAATATTTTTTTAGCCTGCAGTGTGACTATTCGCGGAGGATTGCCCAGTCCCCAGCCGGTGTACCTGAAAACCAACTCCGAGGATTTCTATCCCTTCTCCGACGTCGGTGTGATGCAATTCGAGTCGGGAGGCTCATTCCAGTTGTGGTGTCCCTCCGGATTCAACACTCATTCCGAGAATTTGCTTACGGCTACTTGTGTGAGTGGAACCACCTTCAGCGTGGGCGGATCTCACTTTGAGTTCAAGAACCTGTACTGCAAGTCCTGGCCTGGATTCAAGGCTGTTAAGTCGGGAGCCACCTGCAACGGTGGCATTGTGATCCGCGTAGGTTTCGAGATCACCTCATCGAGGTTTGCCGAGCAGATGCAGATTTGCTTCAACGAAGAGGAGGAGGTGACCCGATACACTCGCCACAAGTTGGAGCCCGGAAGCAACTACTACGAGACCGGAGTGGCTAGGATTACCTTCCAAACTGCTGGTTACTTCAATGGAAAGAACGTGGACAAGCTGTACACCCAGGCCACCCAGCTGGAGACCATCAATAATGACCTCGGCGGAGATGCCGAAAAGTATTTCGATAGTGGCAGCAATGTTTACCTGGCCCGTGGTCACCTGGGTGCCAAGGCTGATTTCGACTACGCTCCCGAGCAGAGGGCCACGTTCCTGTTCATCAACGCTGCTCCTCAGTGGCAGACCTTCAATGCCGGAAACTGGGCTCGTGTCGAGGATGGTCTGCGGGCTTGGGTCTCCAAGAATAAGTTGAACGTGAACTGCTATACCGGCGTCTACGGCGTGACCACTCTGCCAAACAAGCAGGGTGTGGAGACCCCGCTCTATCTGGCCAAGGATGGCAACAACAATGGCCTGATCCCCGTGCCCAAGCTCTACTTCCGCGTCGTCATCGACCCCTCCTCCCACAGGGGCATTGTCTTCGTGGGCGTCAACAATCCCCATCTCACCGTGGAGCAGATCAAGCGCGACTATGTCATCTGCAACGATGTCAGCGATCAGGTGACCTATATCAACTGGAAGCCTACAGACATCAAGGCCGGTTGGTCCTATGCTTGCGAGGTGGCCGATTTCCTGAAGACCGTGAAGCACCTGCCCGCTTTGACCGCCAAGGGAGGTCTCCTCGTTTAAGTGGTGATCAAATAAAATCCACAACTTTTCAGAATTTTATTTCCAATGAATATACCAATGGTGATCAATAGATAGTTGGGAGTATAATACAATCGAATCGCTACATTCTTGTTCATAATTCCATTGATCCAGTCCATATGCACATACACGTTGGTATAAATTGAGGGCAAGGTTTTGGATCCGCATCCTACTCGATAGCTAACCACACCAAAGACCGTTTCGTTGAGGATCAGTGGGCTGCCGGTATCACCGGCACAAGGATTCTCGTCCATGCTGTTGTTCAGGTTTCCGGCGCACATCATCTCCTCCTTGAAGATGTCGATTTTCTTCTCACAGATCTCCCGCGGCAATAGCTCCACGTCAATGTGCAGGATGTCGGAGGCCAGAGGACCGCCCTGCAATTAATGAGGGAAGTGATAATAGTTCGTGAGCTACCACTACTTACTTTAAAGATCCTTCCCCAGCCCAGCACCGTGTAGTTCACACCCGGTTCTGGGTCAGCCGTAGGCAGTTTAATCACACCCACGAGCGGATTGTCCGAGGGCAGTTCTTTGGCCAGCATCATCAGCGCAATGTTGTTTGTATTAAACACTGTGAATTTGTCCGGCACAAAGATCTTCTTCACCTCCAAGATTAACGAGAGTCCTTCGCGAATCTTCAGACGATTTGTGGTTCCAGCCACAACCACCAGAACCCGACTGCGATGTACGATCTTGCGCTTACTTTTGTATGGGTTAAAGGACATGACAGTCAAACTTATAATGATCTCTTCTATACCTACTCCATGGCGCAGTGTGCGGAGGTGAGGATGTAGGTTCTCGATATGATCACGCCACCGCAGAAGTGATTGTCGCCAAAGAACTTGTGGGGTCTTCGGGATCGAATGGAGACCACATACTTGGCCAGCACCAACGTTTTCTCCCTGTCGAAATATGGACTGGAAAGGCGTTTAGGCCTCCGACGGACGAAGTGGCTGCCAATTGGATCACCCGCATCAAAGGTCGGCAGAAGCAACAAGAGAAACAGTAGGAAACTGAAGATTTTTCTGGATACTCCATATTTCGCTAGCGACATCAGAAAATGGTAAATAATTTGACAGTTAACACATGCCCTATTTTGTTGTTTTTAATATACAAATATATACTATGAGGATATTGGTGTCAGCGGAAAACAATCTTCCAAAAAGTGGGAAAATGGTTATAATGGAACGACCCGATGTGATCTTAAACTTGTATTGCTTAGTGGAAACGAAGTCATTTCCCAAAAAATATGGTAAATTAGTTTCAATTTATTCATACTTTTCCTTAGTTCCCCTAGGGAATCAATTTTTTTTCGTTATATGAGGTATTTATTAATGCAAACATAACAAGCTTAGACCAACAGTCCGCTGACGGAGAACTCGGGCAGGTGAGTCACCTTCTTGCGGAACTCAGGAACCTCGCAGGCGTAGGAGTAGCCGGCGGTGATGTCGGTCTTCTTCCAGCTGATCCAGTTGATCCTGTCGCTGACGTCCGTGCAAAGGATGTAGTCCCGCTTAATCTCGTCCAGACTCAAGTGGGGATTGTTGACGCCGATCAGAACGATGCCCTTCTTGGTGGAGGGTTCGATGACCACTCGGAAGTACAGTTTGGGAACTGGAATCAGACCGTTGCCGTTTTGATCGTGGGACAGATAGAGGTGCCTCTGTTCCCCATTCTTGTTGGGCAGCGTAGTGACGCCCCAGACTCCCGTCCAGCACTCCACGTGCTTCTTCTCCTTGGCCACCCAGGCACGAACTCCGTCCTCCACGCGAGCCCAGTTTCCGGCATTGAAGGTCTGCCACTGAGGAGCAGCGTTGATGAACAGGAAGGTGGCCCTCTGCTCCGGGGCAAACACGAAATCAGCCTTGGCCCCCATGTGACCACGGGCCAGGAAGACGTTCTTTGCCGAATTAAAGAAACGAGATGAATCCATGTCCAGCTCCTTGTCGATGGTCTCCTTCTGGACAGCCTGCGTATATAGCTTGTCCACATTCTTGCCCGCGAAATAGCCGCCGGCTCCAAAGGTAATGCGATCCACTCCGGTGGCATAGTAATTGTTTCCCGGTTCCAGGCGATGGTAGACGTACCTGGTCACCTCCTCGTCCTCGTTGAAGCACACCTCGTACTGGGTGGCGAATCGGGATCCGGAGAGCTCAAAGCCCACTTTGATCAGCGTGGTGCCACCATTGCAGCTGGATCCGGACTTCTTGCCCACAAAAGCAGGCCACGATGTGCACTTGATGGCGGACAGATCGTGCTCCTTATCGTCAATCTTGAAGGTGGTGCCACCCACGCACTTGGCGGTCACGGATTTTCCAGACAGAGGGGAAGCCAAGCTGCTGGTGCAGTGGAACTCAATGGTCTTATCCTTATCCACATCCACATAGCCGGTGTCCGAGAATCCAACGATTTCAGAGGTGCCCGATTTGACCAACAGGGGCTGGGGATCCTTCAGCTCAGAGCTGCGGATCTTAATTGAACAACGAGCTACGATGAAGAAGATTTTTAATTACAAACTTTTCGTATAATTAAAGTGTGCAAGGGAAAGTGGTTATGAAAAATAGAATACATTGCAATTATCTCAAAAAGTAAAACAATATTTGGATAGAACAATATTGCCCATACTTTTTATATCTTTGATAACAAATCTTTTTACTAAAAGTCTGTATGTTATGTGTAGTATTGTGTTTTAATTAAACATAAATATTAAATAAACTCACCTGCTCTGGGTTCAATCTCGTTGACCACCACCGGAACTTCGGGCAGCTCCCAGAGGAGATCCTCCGCGGGAAGGATTCTGGCCTGAGCACTGGCCAAGAAGAGGCCACTGAAGGCAATCAACACTAGACACTTCATGTTTCGCAACTGATTTGGCCCTAAGGAAGACCGGGTGCTTTTAAACCAACTGGATGTCCGATGATTGATTAGATTCCCCTGATTGCGACCGTGTTTGCGGGTTGATATCGGCACTTGCTGATGCTTTGATTGCTTCACGTGTCCCCAGATTCGGCTGCTTATTTCCCACCGCCGCCATTATCATTTAATTAGTTTTGGCCCCATGATTATAAGTATTTTCGAGCGTGGGCCAAATTAAATATCTGCGATCCGGATTGAGCTGCTTTCTCTTTCACGTGCCCAGCACGTTTTGTTATCACCCAATAATGAGCTGAACTTTTTCACAAATATCAAGGGTTTATTATGGTTTTATCGTACGGTATACATAAACTCACATTTATTGGTTAGTTTTAAACTGGCTGTCTAGTGTTTTTTTGGCGCAACTGTACTTAAGATTACTTACTATATATACAACATTTATAGATATGGCTTATTTTGCTTTTTCATTTTTTGTACGTCACTGACATCAACTTGAGATAGCTGGAAGTATTTACAAAGTAATTTCCTTAGCACTTTGCAATCATTTAAATCTTTCATTGTTTATTTATTTTAATATGTACGCTTATTGTTTCTGTTTCCTTTTGTTAGGGCATTTTTATTTGCTTTGGATAGACATGCGATTTATTTTGTGTAATTATTTTAAAGCTTTTACTTGGGCTGCGCAATAAAGTGTCTTCTATCTGTTAACTTATTTATGGTAATTTGGGTTATAAACATAAAAATTGTATCTCTTGGAGAGCTAATGTGTTTATTTACCTTTCTCGATATGCACTTAACCTTTTAAACTTTACACATTAAGTTTTATTTCTATTATTGTTCTTAGTAATACGGACCATTTTGCTTTGAAGTATTTACATTAGGTTTGTTACATGTCTCAAGAGGCTTTAGGTATTTTAGCTGGTTATAATGACTTGAAGATGTTAAGAGGATTTTGAACAATTGTTGAAATTGGGCTTAACAGAAACTTACCAAATATTCTTGTATGGCCATGGCATAGATAATAGCATTCGAGTTGCGATTTGCGTTTTCTTATTATTGTGAAAGCTATAGCTTGAGTGAGATAAGATCTGTGTTTTAGTTTATTGAGTATATTTTTTCTATGTTATTTACATTTAAAGCTGTAGTGCCTGCTGACACTGAGAAAGTATGTTTCAATTTTTGTTGACCAAGAACGGCCCTTGGAATTATATTGTATGACTTGGCCCTGGGAAGACCCGTTCTTCAGAGAGCGGTGTGTTGATCTACAGCAGTATGGCAATCTGGGCGTATATCTCCACGGCCACCAGGATGCCCATTATGGACAGATTCACAGCGCAGTAGACGCGTCGCAGTGGACGTCGGCGTTGACGCTGACCACCACATTGACCACCGAGGCGGTGGCCCTTCGGCCACTCAGGTTCCAGATGCTGGCCCTCGTCAGGATCGCCGTCGTCGTCGGTCTCACTTCCGCTTCCGCTGCTGTTGCTATTGCAGTTGCAGTTGCAGTTGCAGGCGCTGCTATGACACTTTCCAGCGCTATTTGTTCCACTGTCCTTATCACTTCCCGTTGTCCCAACGGCTGCATTTCCATTTCCGGTTCCCGATTTGCATGGCGGCCAATGTCAAACTGACGCCAGCGACGAACTGCTGTCAAAGGCCACCAAAAGTGAGTCATTCTCGTCGCTGCCGCTCCCCGCGCTCTTCTCCGACTCGTTGATGACCTCCAGCTGCGTTTGGGGTCGCGCGATTTTGTACTTGTTGTGCCTCTTGTTGATCAGCACGCTGCGGATGTTGTTGTTGGTGCGGCGACTTCCGCTCCGCTGACCCTTGACCTTGACCAAAGCGGATCTGGGCTTGGAGCGCGATCTGGTTGCCCTGCGAGCGCCCAACATGCTGCAGTCGCCATCGTCCTGTTGCAGCCCCAAGTGCTGCTGCTCCGCCAGTTCGTCGTCGTCGTAGTAATCGTAGTAATCATCGTAGTCGTAGCCCACTTCATCCTCCGTATCCAGACCATCGCCGTAGGCCGCCTCATCGTCGTCGTCGTCGTTATCATCGTCGTACTCGAAATCGAAGTCGAAGATGGCGCAGCATCCGCCGGAAGTGGAATCGATGCTCTGGCGGCGCCTTGACCGCTTGCTGTAGGTGTATGTGTGCGGCTTGTTGGTACTAACACTCTTGTACATCGGCGCAAAGATGGCTGTCTTGGCCTCAAGAAATGGATAAAAGCAAACAGGATATCAAATAATTACGGCAATGAATTAACACTCGGCACTGGTGAGATTAATACCTTCACTAAGAAGGAAAAAAAATAATTAACAGAGAGAAAAGAAAATACGGTTAATACCCTTAGGCGGTAGAGAAAAAATATTGCTCCTTGGGAAAAAATCATAAATTTCAAATGTCATTGAGTAAGGTAAAGTATATAACGTTTTCTGTAAACTGTTAGTAAGAAAATTACATTTTATTGTTCACAGAAATCGCAATATACATTATATATATGCTTAGAAACTGTTTAGTTTCCATTGTAAGCTACTAAAAAAACTTGTAATTTAGTTATACTTTTGATTATATATATTATATATTGTTACATCTTTTGTCGTGCACTAGATATTGATTAATTGACCTACCTCTGGTCCGCGCCATGTGATTCCAGAGCGAACCAGGTTGTAGAAGCGGAGCACTCCCCACATGGCCAGCACCTGTTCAAAAGGGAATGCAACGAATTGTGTACCATAAATATCCATTAGATAAAATCCCACTCCGCAGATACATTCGCACACACTCGTACTTTTCCTAGAATTACATGAGCTAACATTTTTACGCTGCGTAAATGGACTAATGGACTTAGTTGGTAATTAAATTATTTATTACACATATTGATTAAGCAATGGGGGCATGTGCGCAAAGGGAATTAGGTCCTATTGTTATTGACTGATGCGTGAGCCAAAGGAGAATATATCTTTTAGCCTATACGCTTGCCTTGTATCAATTTTCAATATTCAATTCGTGACATGACTCAAAATATTTTTGAAATTTCGTGTGAGAACATATAGAACTTTTGTACTCAAGCCTATTTTGTATCGCGTAATTTGCAGCATGTTCAAACTATTGTCATTTAAATACCACCTATGTTATCTGGGAAATTCCTACGATCTGATTGCAGATGCCTGCCGGGATAAAACAGAGTTCTTCAGTTTTCTGGACTCCAGGG